ACGCGGCGAAGAAAAAATTTTAGAGGGAATAACTTTCTTGGGACGTATTTTTTGACTTGTTGAGGTAGATTTTGATTGTGCCTGAGGTGCGCTTCCAGAAAACTACAAGGATTGCCTAACTCTCCGGAAAGTACTTCTGTTAGAAGTGGAAAACCCAAAATTCTAAGAAGGCGCACCTTCAACTTTGAAGGCCCATAAAATCTTTCGTATGCGACATTTTGGAAATCTGTAAAAAGTTTCAGAAACTTCAAATATTTCTCTACAAAACAGTATAAAAAGTTTAGTGATTGTCCCCTTTTTCAAAAAATTGTCCCGTTCGAACATTTTTCGTGCAAAAGCGAGTTTTTGGGCTTTCAGCGACCATAACTCACTTCATTTTCATTTCTGTGATGCACTTTTTTCATGGGGTGAAAGCACAGAATTTGCTCTTTCTAACAAGCCCTAAACCGTTTTTCAAAGTTCATTTTTCGAGAAAATCACACGTTCGAACATTTTGTTCCCATAGGTTTTTGAGCAGCACATGCGAGTTTTTGAGCTTTCAGCAATAATAACTTCCTTCAAAGAACTTGTTGGGGAGGGGCGAAGACATTTTTGAAGACTACGAGATTTCTGCTTTCTTATATGTTTTACCGTTGTCTGGAAGAATCGTCCTCAGAAAATCAGGTCCCGAAGAACTTTAATTTCAGCCCCGAGAAGTCAAACCTTTCATAGGGATGCATTCAACTGTTCTCTATTCCTCAAGGAAAACACCGTAATTTGCCTAAAACTGTCTCTCTCATGTGCTGGAGTGGTTACAGCGGTGACATATAATCTGCACACCGGTGTTGATTCATTTCCTGAGCAGGGTAATGCGCCTGCCAAAGGCGCCACTCGCGCGCGACTTACGCGTTGCACCCTCCGCTTATGTAACCTAAATATAATCAATAGCCTATCCTCGCATGGCCCGTGAATTATTATCGGCAGTACATGTACTGAACTTCACGCAGCCGACAGCTGATACAGCATCTCTGTCAGTGGTTCTTTGTTAGAATCATGCCAGCTTCTTATCTACTCGTGCCAAGTTTTTCTTGTTGTTAGTTGCAACTGGTCCACGAAAAACTGGACACTTTGCGCTGTTACTCGCCGCCCTTGCAAGGACCACAACGAACTGAATTCCTCGTGATGCTGTTAGGTTACCCCTTCATTATACTAGAGATGCTAACCAGATTCTCGTGCTGAATATGGCGCTGCATTAGATAATTCCAATCATTGTGAGTCACTCAGTTCATATAAAGAAGTAGTTAGTCGAATGGCGGCGGAATGTGCATTTTTACACTCATAAAACCACATGATTCATTACCTTGAGGTAGAAGTAAAAGCGCGGTGTGAGAATCAGTGTTGCCATGACTCACTCTCGTATTTCATGATTTCATTGTCTGAGCAATATGAGTCAAGGTGTATTTCTCGGGCTGAGCCATATGTGAAGCGTATCGCGTCGTATAACCTTGGTCATTAGCTGAGCTACTTCATAATTATGCTCATTTTTACAGTGGACAGTTTCTATAGTATTACTGTGGCAGTGCTCCACATGATCTGAGTCACCCCTCATCCAGTAAGGGGGGGCATTGTGATGCAACGTCTAATAGCTGCCCTCACCCCCCACCCCCCTGAACTGGCTTCACTCCCCCTGGCTTACGGGGTCTCGTACTTCAAGAAACCTGTGCGCCAGGGGGAGTGTAGGCAGTCTAGGGGGGTGGGGGGTGAGGGCAGCCACTTGATGCCCCCCCCCTTACTGGATGAGACCCCCCTCACATTCTTCTCTACACGTTTTTGTTCCTCGCTTGTAACAATGACGCTTCTCAAGGAATGGCAAGTGTTGTGCTCGTATGCATTGATTGAATGCGTTCTTCATTGATTGTGAACATTTCTTTGCTAGCAATTATTACAACACTTCATTATCGATCAATGTCTCATGATATTCCCACAGTGACAGACTGCCACCTATTTTTCTATGCGCGCATGCATAGTCGGATCGTAACGGTCGCACAGCATTGGATGCGTATCGATCGTTAGACTTGCCTAATTATTCGAGGATCGATACGTATCTAATACGCGACCGTTACGATCGAAGTGACTCGGTTACGCGGAATGTGGCTTACATTCTACAATTTCAGGTTCTACGGTCACTATGTATGCTCGTATCCATCTCCTTTCGAAGAATTCTCCAACTTCCCGACAGCCCTCTTTGCATTACCACATTGAGCCTAAATTATTCCTCCTTCATCAGCTCCTAGAGTGGTCCATCCCCTTTATCAGCTCAGAAAAAGCACACTGTTTCTTGATAATTGAATTATTGGTGAACTAATCACTACTGATGGAAAATTCTAAAAATAGAGTGACATATGCGCGCTGAAGGACGATCAACACGTGTGTGTATGATCCGATTTCCCGACGCGTAGTCTATTCAATATCTTCGCTCTTGGAATGGATAGCGTTGCGTGCAATGTGAGCCGTCAGCGGGGCACGGAGTGATCATTTTGTACTCCTACGAACTAGTATTAGGGCGCCCATATCAGTTGTGCGCGAGACCACTACCCTTTAACCGGCGGGATACCACGATCCCCTTGTGAATCACGCACGGATGATTGGTGCTGTTTGGAAATTCGAACATTCCAGCTTCTCACGCATGTCAAGTGTCTGCCCTCACCCCCCACCCCCCTAGACTGGCGACACTGCCCCTGGCTCACGGATTCCCCGCTCCACATTGAAGGGTTCACTGTAGCAGGAGGCAGTGGGACCCGTAACGAATGGCGTCCTTTACTAGTCAGAAGGAGTACAAAACGATGCGTTCCAGCGGGGCACTCCCACCGTTCAGAGATACATGGAACCTTTTACTGCTTTAGGGATGACTGAGCAAATTTTTGAGTGTTTGTTCCGATAAGGAGAGGGGGAAGCATGCGGTGCCACAGTTCGTGCGGCTTACAGTAATTCAATTTTGCAGGGAAAGGGGGTGGGGAAGTTCTGAAGTGGGCGTAAAAGGGAAGCGATTTGGTTCGATTTACTTTGCAATTGCTATAAACATGGTTAGTGCGTGGTTTTTTTGTTTCATTAGTCGCTTTCTATTACCTTGTCTCTTGATTTTCTGTTACGAATATGGAGTGGCTGCCTTTATGACTCCATTGTTTACTATCGGAGCCTACCTGATCACGCGGTGGAGATAGATTCACTGGTACCGTCCGTATCGTCAACTCGTGCCACCCTGATCTGTGTTCGCATCAAAAGGTTTTCCATAATCGTCACCGTTTGCTGCAATCCATGCAAAGTTGTCGCGCCTTAGCGCTTCATTCTGGAGCTGACAATGAGTAAATAATGGTATTTCTCCTCTTAATGCCCTGATGCTGATTGTTCTCCTTTGTCGTGCATTGAAATGAATAGACATCTCACTCGTATTCGAAATTTAGGATGTCTTTGTCCGCTGGTGATGCTAAAAAACGTGAGGAAACGCTGAGAGCAAATAACTTTCAAGACGACAGTTTGTGCACAGATGAGTTCGAGATCATCTCTTGCGACACATTAGGTACGATATCAGCAAACTTGATGAGAATTTGTCTTTTGCTTGTGTTTTAGTAGTGATTAGATTTTTTCAGGGTCTAAGCAGTAGTCAGAGCAGGATAGGTCAACATCGATGTAAAGAATTGCTAGAATACGGTAGTAATAAGTATCAGGCCGTGGAAAATTTTGATTCTAGAGCATGTTAATAGGATCCTAATGAGAACTCTTAGGTGATGGTGGATTCAAAATAAGTGCCACTTGTTGGTGTGTGTATGTGGGGGAGGGATTCCGAAGCATAAGCGACGTTCTGGGACTTTTGTGAATGTTCGTTCACCAACTGTTCACCTCTAGGTCGTATCATTTATCCTGTTGAAAAGTCTTCTACATGTGGATGCTCTTCAGGTAATGGTGCCGCTGACAACAATGACGATACCGTTTCTCAGTGGACTACTAAGCACAGTATCAACGTCGAGTCAACTATTCCAATGAATAACCTTGCCCATATTTTGTGTTCAGCACACTCAGAGGTTCCATCGCTTACTTCAGGGTCAGTAGCCACATTTTAGACCAAAATATGAGTACTATTAGCAGTTTTACTTTTTCTTCGTTCCAGATCTACTTTCAAATCTGTAGCCGAGAATTTCGACGGGGAAGTAAACGGGCAGGACGGTCAAAATAAAACGCAAAATAACCGAGATGAAACTGCTATCCTTGTTGGTACAGTTAACTCAGCAC